AGCTGATTCTCTTATGAGAAACTTCAGGGACTTCACTGTATTCTCAGATCTATCTGAGATTAACAGCAAGTGTAATTTTGCATGATCAGCTCTACCACAGCTAACCTTTGTGATTTTTCATAGCTATCTGAATTGTTTCACAGTTTCTGACAACATAAACAGTTCCATTTTAGGTGGGTGATACAGCAATTCTGCATCAAGGGAGACCTTATCTGCTTACACTAAATGGCAGGAAAACCCCATGGAGAAATCTAATATTTGAGAAAGGGAAGAGAGCATGAATAAATCTAATCTCACTAGAATGTTGCCCAGCCTAATTAGTTAATAAATAAGTATTTTTCCCCTCCAGGGTTGTAAATCTTCTGTAGCCTCTGCTTTTCTTGACAGCCAAAAGGAAGAGGTTTACTATATGTTATCTGAACAAAACCTTATTTTGCGTAGCTCCTGTTAATAAAGTCTGATTCTCTTATAAAAGGAGAATCAAATGTCAAAATTTTCTATCAAGTGTGATGATTTCCAAACTCATAAACAAAGCAAATAAAAAGTCTTATATATTCCTGTCACTTACCAGTTTAAATATCATTGTTTAATGTATTTCAATGTTTTGCTGTAGCTTTTGCCTTTATAGCCAGATGACAAATGGTTATTTATAAAACTCAATTATATGTAAATCAAGAAGAAATATTAAATTAGTGAGGGAAACCACATTCATTATAGAACCCATCCCTGTTGCCATGTCAAAGAAAAATTCATGATTTGTAATTTTTAGAATAATTTTATTCTGATTTCCAAACCATGCTGATTGAATATAGGTATAAAATACCTTAATTTATGCCATTTGTCCTTAGAGAACTTTTACTACTTTTACAAGTTTGTAATCTAGCTCTACTTTCATCTAATTTTGGAGTTTGAAATTTCTAATAAATTGTAGGGATAAGAACCCATCCTACACCTCAATTTGCATATCTATTGTTCTATTGTATGGGCACATTTAGGGAAAGAAAGTCTTCCATTAACTAACTTCATAATTTGAGGTACCACTCTATTATAGAGTGCACAGCCTTTTATTTTTCAAGTGGTGGTTTGCTTTCAGGCCCTACCTTGGGTGTTCAAAAACCCTATGTTTGGTAATTTGCCAGTAAATTACAGATGCTTTAATGTATATATCCTCTCATTTAAGAAAGGCAAGTCAAATTACAGTTCCAAGGTTTGCCTCCCCCGAATCTTTTCCTTTTCTTCTCTTTAATTTGGTCTCAATGTACGGAGTTCTTTCTGTTTCACACAATAATCATTACAGTCATTCATGCAATGTTAATAAGCTTCATAATAAGAGTTATTGTACCAAAATCTTTATAGTCAGAAGTCAAAAACAAACTGACTTCTTGTACATAAACTTTGTAAAACTTGCATCAATAGGTTTACTTTCATGTTTTCCACCCTGTAATTGTGAAAATCATCTATAACACCTCATGCACTTTAACTGTGAGTGCTTTAGCCTAGCATTGTAAAAGCAGTTTAGCCATCCAATGATGGTTGCCCTCTTTGCACCTCTCCTCTGCCAACTGCTGCATTGTGAAATTCTGTTAGCACGTGGGACAGCCTTGACACTAAGAATAGAAAAATGTAAGGGAACATGGGAAAAATTTGTTCCCAGTTGATCAAAATCTAACTAACGAAACAGATTTTTCTTTGGTAGAGGTAGTGGGACTCTCAACGCTCCTCATGGCCCCTGTGAAATATTATAAGAAAGCAATGCTGACAATTCAAGCCAGAAACAGCTAAAAATACTCAGATAATTCAAGTAAAATGTAGAATTGCTTTGTAATTTTTTTTTTAAGTGTTGGGGACATTTTTTTGTTTTCATTGTTTAGCCTGAGTAATAGCTCAATCTTTATCTTATTATATATGCTCTGGTACTTTGATAGCTCTGTTGTCAACAATTTTTAAGCTAAAAAGATGAAGAGACCGTATCTACAATATGACCACAACACTGTCTAATGTATGTGGAATTTTATTTGCCATTAAAGTCATGTTTTAAATTCTGTTGTTTTTCTTTTTTAATTGTATTAAAACAATTGAATATAAGCATTACCAGTTTCCCTGAGCAACACAGACAAGTTACAATCTACCATATGTCTTTAAGATGATGGTTGCAATTGCATCTTTATATCACAGAAATTTGGAAAGGTGTAGCATATATCAAAGTTGTCTGTTTTATGAAAGTGTGCTTATTCTTCAAGCCTTATAAGAAAAATACACCTTTGGACAGTCAATACAATGTCTTAGAGCAGTCATGTTCAACTGTATTATTCTTTACCCTAAGGAAGCAAGCCCATATGTAGCATGGGGACATATTAGCCTAATTTGCTTTGGTTTTAACTTTTTTAATATTTACTAATGGATTAGATTGATAAAATGTTATGAATTTTTAACTCTTGAATCCCTTGTTGTTCTGACTTTAAGCAAAAGCTTTCCCTCTTAAGGACAAAAGAATGTGAAATTTTAGCATTTTAGCTTCCTAACTCTTAGAGCCCCTTTTCCCTTTCCATAATCTATATACCCAGCTCCATCTATACACGCAGCTTTTCTTCATTGTAGCTATATTCTTTTTCTGGTGCCGGACTTCTGTATTTCTTGACACCAGGTTACTAACTGGATTTGGGTTTCGTGAAAAAGCTTGCAAGTTGTTAGCCTGTCAGAAATTGTTAAATTGAAGTCTTGGTCTTCCCATTTACCCTTGAAGCTTCTAATGATTTGAACTTTTATGCCAGTCAGGCTTTTCCCAATTGGTCTTCCTTAAGTCTGACATTGTGTGTTATAACCTGGGGCTTTGACAAGGTGGTGCATTCTGAAAAACAAATTCAGTTTTCTTATATGGTAGAGAAATTAAGAAATACAATTATAAATTTTGCCAATTGAAAATGTATTATTTCTTTATGGGATTAAATAAGGTTTGGTTGATATCTGGAATATGATTTTTGGTCATTAATATTTACCTGACGTTAAGTAATTTACATATTTTTGCATCTGCATTTTAGACAAAGAAACAACTCTACAGTGTATTCAGCAACTTTTTACTTTTCCATTAATAGAATGTAATAAATAATTAATTGATGCTTAATTAATTACAATAAAAAGCTAAATAGATACCATGATTTACATACAGTATAAAAAGACAAACTGTCATCAAGTGAATCTGCATTATAATTATCAGAAATAATATATTAATAAATTTGATTTTATTTATTGAATATATGTCATCTTTAGGCATGATTCACGTAAAACAATAGCTCTGCAAGTATAATCCTGATTATCTATGATTTAATCTTTTATATATCTTCTTTTTTCATTTGAGAACACTATAAGGGTAAAAAATGTTTTGTTTACATAAATTGCTTTTGAATTTACCCATCCTCTCCTTGCCCCTCCCATCTGCTTGATTTCTGATGAGTGTTATTTCCATATATGCACATAATTGTTGACCAATTAATTCCAATTTAATGGTGAGTACATGTGGTGCTTGTTTTTCCATTCTTATGATACTTCACTTAGAAGAATGGGCTCCAGAACCATCCAGGTTAATTAAAGAGGTATTAATTAACCATTCTTTATTGCTGAATAGTACTCCATGTTGTACATATACCACATTTTTTAATCCACTCATGTACTGATGGGCACTTGGGTTGTTTCCAAATCTTTGCAATTGTGAATTGTGCTGCTATAAACATTCAAGTGCAGATGTCTTTTTTAATGCAGTGTCTTTTTTTTTCCTTTGGGTAGATGCCCAGTAATGGGATTGCTGGATCAAATGGTAATTCTATTTGTAGCTCTTTGAGGTATCTCCATATTATTTTCCAGAGAGGTTTGCAGTCCCACCAGCAGTGTATGAGGGTTCCTTAATATCCTCATCCATGCCAGCATTTGTTGTTTTGGAACTTTTTGATAAAAGTAATTCTCACTGGAGTTAGGTGATAATTCATTGTGGTTTTGACTTGCATTTCCCTGATGATTAGAGATGGTCAGCATTTTTTCATATGTTTGTCGGCCATTAGTCTATCTTCTTTAGGAAAGTTTCTTTTCATGTCTTTTGCCCACTATATATCTTCTTCTAGTATAAACTGATCATTTGACTTGAAATTATTGTGTAAATCAGAAATAACTTCTTTTTGATTGCCATCAAGACATTGCTATTTCCACTAGTTAAATCTTTGTTTTTGTTTAACAAAAGCAGTTAAGGATAGAGGCAACTATGGGATTTTGTTAGCTCCATCAGAGGAATCTTTGAAGATGTGATATTTTGAAATCAAAAATTATCTGTCAAACTAAAAAGGTTAACATGACCTAGGAGATGTTTCTAATAAATTTTAGTTCCTTATATCTTTTGAAATTCTTTCTGCTCCTTCATGTCATTTTGAATCCAGGTCTGATATAGTCTATAATTGAAAAAAAATTCAGAGAGGAAATTCAAGTTATGAGAGTGCTTTCTGATAGCATTAAATAATTTGATTTGATTTGAGATTATAGAATAAATGAACTGAATTTGCTGGAATTTCAACTTTGTGACACTTCTTTGACATGACCAAAACACCTTATGCTGAAAATCAGTGTTCTATATATTGAACTCCATGTCTCCATTAAATTCCATGGAAATACTCCATTTGGAGCAGACAAAATACTTTGAATACATAAAAAAGAGATGTTTTATTCAAATCATTCTTATTTTTTGCAGATTAAAAAGGTGAAACAAAAGATTTTACTTTGCAGTTTGTTAATTTTTTTTCTTTGAAAGTTAACGCTTGGGTTTAGAAGCTGAAACAGAAATGCCAAAAAGGAATGCTCACAAATCATTCTCTTTTATGAATTTTCTATTTTTTCAGGTATTTCATAAAAAGTTTTATAGTGAAATTATGCACTCAGCATTGTAATACTAGATTGATTTGTTTTCCTTATTAAAATTCACTAAACGTAGGCACATATATACGTATTTTTTTTTCTTCTAGCAATGGTTGTTTTGAGCAACCTGGAACCAAATACAACTTATGAAATCAGGGTTGCAGCTGTAAATGGAAAAGGACAAGGAGACTACAGTAAAATAGAAATTTTCCAAACATTACCAGTCCGTAAGTAATCATTACTGTTCTGTTGCCATTCTCTACACTTCCATATTTAATAGATTTTAAAATGCAGGGAGATGTTTCAACATTTTTGGGAAGTGAAATATGTCTTTGTTGAAGTGGTTTCTGAAGATGGTGACATCTCAGACTTTTAAAAATAACTTTAACCTTGCTTTGGACCAAGGCAAGAAGAAAAGGTGCACTAGAATACAATCAGTAAAAACTGCTATCAGGAAATTGTCTCCATTATGAAGGTGCCCTTCTTATTCATAGTCTGATTAATTGAATTGTAGTGCTCAGAATATATTCTGTGAGAAAGTAGAAAAATGTCTGTGTAACATGTACAATATTCTGTTGTTTTGATGAGGCATGACTACTGCCTTTAACCCACAAATTATGTAGGTGGTAAGTGTGAGAAAAAAATGAACCACGAAATTAATCCATTACAACAGTGACTGTAGGAGAAGAATAACTATTGTAGCCTTGTTCTGGTAGCTATCCTATTTTGACATATTGTGAAATAAATTGAGTTTATGTGAAGTGAAGATTAAATTGAAGAAGACCTACATTTCCTTCAGGTTGAATAAATTATTTAAAATATGGGAAAACATAATGAGTATGACTGAACAAATGCTATTATAAAATCTGTGCGTAATCCTGCCTGTTATATATACATGTTAGGATAGTCAGATTGACCAAAATAATTTATATTACCTTAATTTGTGACCAATAATTCTCTGGTTGTCATAAAATCTGTCAGATGAGTTTCCATTTCTCTATTCCCAAGGCTAGTATCATTTTTAGTCCTTCATTATTTTTTCACCAGATGACTCCAAATAGATTTTGATTCATAATCTTACCTCCAGTCTAGTCTTCCCTTAACCCATCTTCCAAAATGATTCTTAAGTAATTTTCAGAAATTTTAATTCTCAATAGCATCATCTTAGCTTCCCACCTTCCTCTCATATCTACTTTTGTCTTCCTGCTATCTCACACGTTCTCTCCTAACTACCAGGAAGTTGTCTGCATCAGGATGTCGAACTATAGTTTGGTAATGCTGTTTTCTTTCCACACAGTACTGGGCATTCTGACTGCAGATCAACCCACAGTCATGGCATGATTTCTTCCATAACACTCCAAATAAGCCCTCCAACTTTATTTCCTCCTGTTTTTAGGCACATTTCCTTTATTTGCTCGTAAAACACCTCTCTTAGTGTTTCAAAATTAAATCACCAGTTTCTGCCTTTTTCTCTCTCCCTTTTATTAATAAATTATAATGCTTCTATTCTCTTAGTGTACTTTTGTTGACTTGCCAACCTCTCTCCTGCAGTGAGCATTTTGAGGGTAGAGACATTGTATTTTTTAAGTAATAAATACGTATTTTTAGTTGTTTCTCAGGATTGTTTTGAACCTCAAATGAGGTCTTATGCAAAGTACTTAATATGCCATAACTATTATTAATTATTGATTAGTATTGTTATTACTACTTTTGCATGAGCATTGTATTGTAATCATGAATATAAACCACTAATCTATTTCTCTGTGATAGAATCTTTGTTCTGAAACTTATTTTTTTCAAAAAAAGTATCAATTGTAATAGAGTCACACATTTAATGTACAGTAAAAATAAATATATGCATAAATATTTTTAAATATGTAAAATAGTTTCCATAGAAATAGTTTCTGCTTTATAATTGCATCAAAATGGTAATATAAAAATAGCATATTGCAATACCATTATTAAATAAATTTATACTGTATAACATGTACATTCTAAATTCCAGTTTAGAAATGCTTCTAAATGATCTGAGCTATAAAATTCACTGTATAATATTTAGATTTTTCTCATAATTTGTTATTAAATATTGTTAAAAAAATATACTGATTTTTACAGAAGTTTTAATATATTCATCCAAAATATATTTTGTACCTAAATATCATGCCATAATATCTGCACTCTAATTTAATTCATTTTAATGCACACTCTACATTTTCTCTATTCAATATTTCTATAAGGCTTTATCATGCAAGGCTATTTTCTTACCTACTTGCATGTCAACACACCCTGTTGTCATATTTCTTTAATGACCATCTTCCTGCAAACAAACTCCTTATTTGTTTAAGGTATAAACACCATATTAGAAATAAAGATAACTTGATGAGTAGAGAAACACCAGGTTCTTCACATTTGGAGGTGGGCAATTCTCTTTACTCTATTGTTCTTTGTTTGTCCTGGCATTACTCAGAGAAGACTGGGTATTTCAGTTTTTGGAACATTACATACTAAAATGTGTGCATTAGATCCTTGGTTTTATCATATCCATATCCATAATCATGTCTGTAGAGAATTGGAAAAAGTAGAGGCAGACAGATGCCAGTAGGTGCCCAAGTGCCCAAGCATGTCACATCAGTGACACAGAGAAGGGAGCTCCCATTCCAAGTTGCGGAACAGTGCTGGTACTCTTCACACAGAAAATCCTTATACTTCAATATATTCCTGTTCTATTTAAAATATTACAAGCATCTTTGTTACAAGGTGATCTATATGTTGAAGAATAACATCAAAGGCAGGCATGCTCATGAAGTAGAAGAAAAATAAGTTATTGAAACATAGGCCTATGAATCTGGATACTATAAATTGTATTCAAATTTGCATCTAGGGAAGAAAATACTCATTAAACCATATAAGTAACTGCAAGTCATTATCATTCCTGACAGGTATACAACACATATGGATTGATGTGTTAATATGTTTATATTAATAAATGTTTACCAAATACATTTACATTAAGAAAATAAATAGGTTTGAATGTTATTACTAATAAGAGAAATAAAGTTTTACTCTTAATATAATGCACTGCTATTTTAAGAATGTTTGAAAATCAATATAAATGATAGATTTAGTCCTGAAGTTTCAAAATTTTGGCATGATACTTCTAGATTTATGAATGTTTCTGCTTATTGGGTAGGAAAAATGGGGATCCGAGATCATATCACATCATAGGGTGAATATTAAATGGTAAATCCAGCATAACATCATATATTGTGATTACATGACTATGTTCTTTTGATTAAAATGTAGTTTCTCCAGGTATCTGAAATGTGTACAAATGAAGAACTATTGTATTGTATATCTAGGTGAGCCAAGTCCTCCATCCATACATGGACAGCCAAGCAGTGGGAAGAGCTTTAAACTCAGCATCACCAAACAGGATGATGGAGGGGCCCCTATCTTGGAATACATAGTGAAATATAGAAGTGTAAGTATGTTATAATTTGATATCAGGTTTTTTCAAATTATATTAAGAATTGCATTGAGTTTATAGAAAGATTGAGAGTAAATACATATTCGGTAACCACAATGATAAGTGCTAATTTTCTATTCCTGAAATTCATCATTATAAATGGTGAAATTTTTTTTGTAAGATCTGAGTGTAGATCATCAAAATAATCTCATGGTTTTCATCTTGTTATTTCTAGGTGTGAAATGTGACTTGTCTGCATTTCAGAAATGAAATACTATTTTCCCAGGTTCCTGACAAGTTTCCCATTCTACTTGATATTAGTAACTTCGGGCTAAGTTCTCTCATCAATCATACTTACATTTGATAGGATTATTAGAAAATCACACCTTAGAATAAATTATTTTAATCAAATAATCATATTGTTTAAGCCTTAAAAGTTAATAAATAATGGCCACACTGAATTTGAGGAAGAGGAAATAGTTTTCTTCAAATTTAATCAGCACTAGCTAGTAAGGGACTTTGGAAAACTTAAAGATGCACTAGGGTTTTTGATAGGTGCGGGGTGGGGTGAAAGATGATCACTGGTTGCAGAGTGATGAAGAATATAACCCTGTGGACTTTACTCTTTGCCTTTAGTGAAAATGATGTCAAAGGTCATTAAAAATTATTTTTCCAAAAAAATTTTTCATAAGTATCATAGAGTATTTGTATCTACCATAGAATGTGATAAAAATTAAACATAATTTTAAATAAAATTCTGTAAGATTTATTTACTAATATTTAGACTGTCCCTATGATCTAGCATGAATTTTATATTTAGGTTGACTTAATATTTATTAGTGCTATCTAAACTAAATATATTTTAGCAGACAGAATTTTAAATAATTGGTCCTTAATAGTAAGTGGATTAATTTTCAATAATTTCCACAAATCCACAATTTTCTATAATATTGCTACTTCTAAATTCAAATATTTAAGTTTGAGGCATAAGAAAGGAAACTTGATTTTGAATAGCACAGTTTAATTTTAGACATCAATTCAGTGTTTTAAATTTAAGATTAATAGTCCCTTCACAGCTCAACTTCATCTCAGATTTCATACAGGCAATAATGAGTAGCTGTGTGTGTCTTGGATACTCTGCCATGGAGACTTTATGCCTTTACCCCAAGACAGCTATGGAAGGCTCATTGGACTCTCAGTGAATCTGCCAGTATCATTCAACTCCAGCCAGGTCTCTTAGTCATTATTATTCACCCATCTGGAAAATCTATGGAAGAAAGAGAGTCTCTCTGTCTAGGAAAACCAAATTCATGAATTGGATTGGGAGAAGAGGCCTCCATACAGATTGTAGCCTACAGTTCTACCCAGAAGAATTTATGGTACAAAATGCAGGTGGATAGCAACAAAATTTTTCTTATTATTACTATTATTTCCTATTATACATCTTCTTCATTTGTTTTATTAGTGGCTTTTTTTTTTTAACAAAGCATGTATATATATATTAGGAATGCTGTGACTTTTTTAGGCTGCCATTTCCCTTTCTAGTTATCCAAAAGTGAAGTTTAGAAACTAATAAGAACATTGCTGCCCACAGCATGAACATTTCTTAAAACATTTACTAAACAATAAATAAAAACAATACAAATTTACTCAAAAACCTATTAATATCTTATTTCCAGAAAGTGGTCAGTAAGTTTTAGATACATTTTAGTCATGAAATCAATACAGGCTATTAATCTTTTAAAATGTACTTTTAGACTGCAGATAAAAGAAAACATGACAAGTCTACGGCCATACCACCCTGAAAGTGCCTGATCTCATCTAATCTTGGAAGCTAAGCAGGGTTGGGCCTAGTTAGTACTTGGATAGGAGAAAACATGACTAAAGGGTATTAAAATCAGAAGATTGTTTTTCACATTGAACACAAATGTATTAGACAATCCAGGGTTAGGGGAGAAGCTCAGCAATAAAATTAGGAATCCAAATTATTTTTCTTTATGTTCTTTCATTCTAAGTATGTTGGCTTTCTTTTATCCTGGTATAGATTATCTTGTGCTTTTAAGAAGGTAGATTCACATCCACACTCATAATGTGAAGAAAGTCAAAAGAACAAAGGGGGCAATAATTTATTTCAGGTGGATTTATCTCTTTTTTTGTCAGTACAGTAAATCTTTTTGTAAAACCCCACTAAACAGAATTAAAATTATCTCTCAATTAGATAGAAATATATCTAATGACCTTCTTCCATAAAAGTGGTTAACATGAAGATTTGAGTTAGCCAAACAATAAGATCTGATAATTATTTTATTATCTTAATGGCTGTCATTAGTTATGTATATCTAAAATGCATACTATTGACATTATGGATGATATAATATTGGGCTATCCAGAACTCTACCACCCAATGTTTCACATCACTGGCTCACATTGATTATATTGTCATAGAGGCCCTGTTCATTGTTGAAACCAAAACTATTCCTCAAGTAAAGAGAATACAACTTTTAACAGGCAATCATTGGGATATATATATATATATATATATATATACATATACATATATATACACAGAGAGAACATATATATAATTTATTTTAAAATATAAATATCTTTAAAATCAACTTCAAATTTATTTTTATTTCTTTATATTTATATTAGAATTAACCATTTTTGAGAAATTATATGTAAAATTCATTTTGATACAGATAAATAAAGTTTTAAGCATGATGAAATTGGTAAGATTGTAGAGACTCAAGTTTACATAATGTTCCTTAATAAAATTTACCTTTGATAAGGATTAGTTGATATAACTTAGTCTTATATTAATATTTGAATAAGGACAACTTTTCCCTTCAGTAATTTCTATCTTCCATTTTATTGCCTTTTTCTTTCTCTTCCCAATCTAATGGTAGCAACACTTTATTGGTTCTTTCCATTTACTCAATGTCTATGTTTACCCTCCCAGTAAAATAGAATCTTTATCCCTCCCCAGTTCCATCTCATTCCTGTCTGCATATACTCTTTCTTTCCATTTCTAATTTGCAGCCCTCTCTAATTTCAAAAGTACTTAGGGCCTGTTTTTAATTTTATAATAGCAATAAATTACATTAATTCAAACATAGCTGTAATTTATTAATAATAAACTACTATACTACTTGTCTTAGAGCTGCTAGCAATTTAATGGGGAACATTGTTTTAATAGTAGACACTTAGGCACTTAGGCAAGTTTTGTGGAAGGAATGGCTCAATACCCTTTGTATGATAAGAAAGACATGGCTCTATCTTTGAGACTTTATTTTATAATTAATCAAATGTAAGTGTTACTTTTTAACATTTTTTGAAGGGCAAACTGAAAATTAGAGAATTGGGGAGCGGCAGCAGTCATCAGAATGTAAGACTTTCCTGTCTAAACATGGTTTGCAGTAGTTATGACCAAAAAGGACTTTACCTGCAGAGATTTTATCTACCCCTCAACCACTATCCCATCTCAGTTCAACTGCCCAGCTCCTGTGCTTCCAGATACAACCCTTCTGTCACACATGTCCTTGTCTGTATCATTTAATCATATGCTTTCTACTTCTACACATTAAGATATTCTACATATCCCTATTTTTTGTCTCTCCCTTCTCTATCTCCTCCATCCTGTTAACATCATGCTCTTAAGTTACAATTGGAGACATCATGATTAAATAAAAAGTGAAATAATTACTTCAAAAGGTTCTTCATCATTTGCTCTCTTTGTATGATTCCAAGATACTTCACCTATTAATTTTTCAAACTACATGAATTCCACAGTATAGTAAAGTACAACTGAATAACTTGAAAACTAATTTAGATATGATCAGTGCATTTTAATTGGATAACTTCTATTTAAAAAGTAGAAAGGGGAATCATGAAAATAAGGAACACCTCTAAGGTTTGCACTTCTTGATTTCTTCTTTGGCCCTATCTTTCAAATCTACTATGCATAGGACTAGGCATTTTATATACTCAGAACAACATAAGCCATACAATGAATTCTTAGTATGACTGTTGATTTCTAGCAAACACTGGATTTAAACATTTGATTTAGATTTCCCTGGGAAAGGACAAGGCCAGCCATGTCCTAATATAGAAAGTGTACAATTTCCTATAGATTATGAACTAGGTAGCACCATTATACTATGTTATCTTATAACCAAGCACATGGCTTTGTTCACTCTTCCAATAAAAAGCCAGACTTTATTAGAACAGAACTAGGGTAATAAAAGCAGTATTAGATATCTCTAATGGACCCTTCATGAAAATTAACGTCTCTCACAATGCCAGTAAGATTAAACCATATATTTGGAAAATAAAGACAAGCATATTAATTGCATAAAATGTTTGGAAAAATGTAAGAGGTTATTTTTAGTACAGAATATTTTATATCTACTTTGTACTTGTAATATCAATATAACTTCATACAATTTAATAAATAGTTTTTTCATGCTTCTATGGGTTTTTTTACTATTTTCTCTCTAATTTGATGATAGCTACGGGAACATAATTAGCACTTTGTGTTGGCATATTAAATAAATTTCCTGAGCTAAGAAAATTGGTGGCTTAAAATCAATTGTGAGGAAGGTATTTTAGGGACTAGTAACAGTTCTTATGGTGTATGTTTATAAGTCTTAATTGACCTTTTTAGGCTATTTGAAGCCCAGGAAGTTGTCTACTATCTCAATGGTAATAGAAAAATAAAAGGTAATTTGGAAAAGGTCATTAAAATAATAAAAAAGTAAAATTGAGCTTTGGTTGTTGAGAGAACTTGTTTCCCTATTAATAATGTGTACATTTATACATTGAAATTTATTTAAAGCCATTAAAGTTTAAGTTTTGAAATATCCTCAAAAATAACTACCTATGCACATTAAAGAGTATGTAGCTTTTGGTAATTTTTCTTTGCTGTGAGTAAAGAGGCTGAGTTTTATTCACTTTTGTTTTTATAGTATAAAATAGACTATGTGTTATCTGAATGAATAAATGCAACAATAAATTAATGAATAAATTAGCCTATGTTATGCAATTATAAAGTCTTATAAGCAGATTAATAAATATGAGAAACAAGGAAAAAATCTTGCTCTGCCAGTTTTTATTGATGTGAAAATGCAGAAGGTAACAAACAGGAAATATTAAGATTATTGCCATTTAAGTAGTATGTGTATGGTGGAGACTAGAATCAGGTTACATATGCCTAGCTAAAAAAACTTTACCAAGTTTCAGGATATGACAAGGCAATTTTGAACAGTTTTAAATTCTAATCCAACCTGTTCGATTAGAATTTATAACTCTTCTAAAACTTCTACACCTATAACTTCCCAAATCTCAGTAAAGCATCTTTTTGCTCATAGAATATACACATGTGCATACTATATATGTATAATATATATTGTCCAGATTGCTAAATCACCTCTCTCATAGTCAGAGTAGCAACTTGAATTTTTCAGAATTCTGGGTCCTTCTGTAAGGTCAAATAAATTTGAATAATTGAACTGTGTTACCAGGGAATCCAAGAACCAGGAACTGCTTTCCATATGCACAAAATCTTAAATCATAGAACTTGAGAGTCAGAAGAACCTGAAATTCATCTAGTTAATATGGCCTGCCTCCTCTATTTTCCTCTCATTTTAGAATTATTCAATTTTTATTATAATGCTGTTGCCAATGTATTCCATGAGAACCCAAAAAGAAAGTGGTCTATTTCTTATTATGAATAAAAGCATGGAGGAGCCCTCTACATATAAGAAATTAATGACCCCTTAAACTTTTCCTCCAATCTCCTCTGTATACATATAATTGCAAGCATTTCTCTAAATGCTGATACTATGACTTTAGAATTACTAATAGGAAATGCCCTTAATTGTCATATGGCTCTGCTATCTATTTTCTAACAAAAAAGTTAACTTAAGAGAAGCTATACCAAAGCAAATGACTTCTTTTTTCAGTAGATTCCCTTCAACATTTAATTGGCTTATTAATAATAGCCCTATTCAGCAAATCATCTCATTAAGTTACCTAGGGGAACATTTTGCAACTAGATTATCTTAAATTGTTCCCTAGCCATTTAAATTCTGTAAATTAGACACTCTACAAATGCATGATTTAGATTTTGATGCCTAAGGGAGTATTTGGTAACACCCACTTTAATTTTTTTCCTATTCCCTAGGAATAGCAATTAGGGAATTTAAATGCCTCTTTGTCTAATGTTGAATGGAAAGTGAAATTGATTTGTATTGGGAAAATATTATAACTCCCTTTGGGTTCCTTTCACTATCAGTCCAAATATTTAAAATGATGGAGGGAGGGGCTTTTAATTTATCATGTTAAGAGCTTCAAGAATTGAGTTAAATGATTCTTAATTCAGAAGGGACTATCTGTATCTCTTGTGCTTTTCAGGAAGTTTCACCTAAAATACCCAATTCCCAGAAATGATATTTTTGAAGGATTACTTGAAGGACATGAAGTCTGTCTATCCTTCTAAAGAATAGATTTTCTTCATGGTATAAACCAGATCTCAGTTGTTGGCTTATTTTCTGGCTCTTTCACCCACATCTCCACTCAAATCCAAAGCAAAATTCAACTCCTTGGACTTCTACAAAAATATTCATTCATAACATAATTGTATAATTGCATAGGATGTACTCAATAACTGGGGTGGTGCCAGGGCCACAGTGGCATGCAGCTCTCTTCTGCCTTGTGTAGCACTTGTCTTCATGTAACACTTCAGTCTCCTTGTTCCACACACTCTCCTTCCTCTATGTGTATGTATAAACAAAATATATGACTTGTAAAAATATGTTATATATATATGTGTATATTTTATACATAGCATACAAATTATAGGTTCCATGTGTTTGCATGCATGCATATATATACATACATATCATATATCATCTAAAATTAATTTTGTGTTGACCTTTTTAAGCTTTATTGTTTTGGCCAATGTCTATGGGACATTTTTGAATTTATTTGAAACAATTAGCCTACAGTGTTCATTTATACATCTCCCAGTGATTATGCATCTCTCTGAGGTTTAAAATCATTTTGTTTATTTTTGTACCTAAATCCCTGTAAAAAAAACTCACACCTTCTTTCATTAACAAGGTTAAGACAAATGAAAAAAAATGGTACAATGTTTATAATATCTGGTAAATGTGATGTCCATCTCTCCCAGAGGAGATCTTCCTGGCCCTGGGATTCTATTAGGATCTCTCTGTTACACGCCCCTATTGCACCCTCTCAATCCTCAAAGAACTCATGTCAATCTTCTGTGCTGGTTTATAAACTCCAAGATAAGGGTATTGCACATGTCTTGTTCACTATCATGTTCATAGTTCCTAGAAAAGCCTCACCACCCAATTAAGCCTGAACGAATAATTGATACATGAGTAGGTAAAGACAGAGAGTGCTGGCAAAACTGTGGCTGTTTAGTACATCTGTCTTAAAAACTTCAAACGCATGTCTACATTTCTTCCTTAGGTTTACTAGTCATTTAGTGACTTAGACAAGTTAAAATCTCTCTGGCCCAAACTGTTTGTTTTTCACATGGCTTTTCCTGTACACTTCATAACAGTTTAAATAGTAGTTGGAAGCAGGCCACTGACAAATGCATCTATTACAAGTTTCAAAAAGAAAGGCAAGTGCCTCTTGCTTAAATGCTTGACCATGTATACCATGGCTTCATTAAGGCTGCTAATATCTTCAGGTTTAGGTGAAACATCAGAACAGACCAAGCTGTTTCCTTTGCAAAGAGCTCTGTGTGACTACAAAATAATTAAGGAGATGGAGAGAATGATATAGTAAGATATCAAAACCATAATATCTTCTTGTCTCCATCTGAAGGACACTCCATGTTTGTAGTACTATAAATTTAATGCAATTATGAATTCAACTTCCACAATTTGATTTTACAGGATAAATTATTTGTTACAATAAACTCAGAAAACTTTGATTATTATTCTCTATAGTCAAAGAAACATCGTAAAATTTTGGTTCAACATAAAGTAAGGTCCAGCTTAGTTAGCTATGAGGTTAAAAAATATCTGTCTATTACTATAAGCAGGCTATAATTTATTTATACCTTGGGAAAATTAGATTTGCAATTATAAATGACAGATTATTAGAGACATGATTCCAGAGAAAAATGTTTCATTTCCATACAGTTATTATGGAAACAGTTATCCCTTAAAAATAGCTATTATTGTGGAATGGTTATTATCCCTAAGGCCCTGGTACACACAAGTTACTCAGTGTTCTTCATTGCTCCCTGAAAAAGCTGACAAAGCAGTTGAAACCATCATTTTTGTTATAAAGAGCAGGGAAATAAGAAATAAATGTTCAGGAACTTACCCGTTTTTAAATAGTTAACATACGGCAAAGCCAAATGATCACATTGCTTCAACTGATTTAATTCATAAAATTATATCAATTTATTTTTCTTTGTTAATTGTTGTAGTCATAGTATTTTTTTTTATTTTAAAAGATTTAGGAAGGGGCAAGTTGAAATCTGTTACACATACACATTGTATAATGGTGAATTCTGGGCTTTTGGTGCATTCATCACCTAAATAATGTATGTACATGGTAGCCCATAGATACTTTGCTTTCCTCACCCTCCTGCCTCCTCTCCCATTTTGTGTCTCCAGTGTCCATTGTAACACTCTGTGTGCCCTTATATAGCCCTAGTTTAGCTCACACATACAAATGAGAACATGTGGCATTTATTTTTCTGTTCCTGTGTTACTTCACTTAGGATAACAGCCTCCAGTTCCATCCAAGTTGCTGCAAAAGACATTATTCCATTATATCTTATCACTGGGTAGTATTCCATGGTGTGTGTGTATGTGTGTGTGTGTGTCTGTTCCATCAGTTTATGTACATTTAGGTTGATTCCCTATCTTTGAATTGGGAATTGTGCTGTGATAAATATAAAAGTGCAAATATGTTTTGATATAATGGTTTATTTTTTTCAAATAAAGAGAAATTCAAATATCATATGGCCTAAAACTTTTATTTTAGAAAAATAATTAGATAGTATTTAAGTGTAGAATGTTTGAGGATGTTTATTTTGAAGAATAATAAATTTATTTTGAGGAATGTTTAAGGAATGTTTATTTTCCTATGCGAATGACATATTTCACAGGTATAATTTCCCTTGTATGCTTTTTCATTATAAATCATAAAAAATAACAGTAGTAAAAATTATATTCAGTGATAATACAAGTCTATAAATAATTCCCATGTTATGCTTCCAAGACATTTTATCCCCCCCCCAAGAAACTTTTAACAAAAGTCTCTGGTAGTTATTTTAATTGACACAATACAGTTTTTTTCCTGTATATATTATTTCTCTGTTCACATATCAGTAATAACCAAATAAACAAACTATCCAAAACCAAATTTATATTTATGATATAAAAAAACATAATGGAGGTTTATTATTAACCACTTAATCAAGGATTAATTATAAAGTCATCACTCTTTGGCTGATACAAATAACATTAAATTTTATATAGAAGAATGTTAGAGATAATAGGGACTTTACTGACATAGTAACTTAATTCCTGTACATAAGAAAATTTATTTTTGTGAAATTAATAAAACTACTTTTTCCAATGACAAGATAAGTTATTTTTTTAAAAAATCACAACTTTAGTGTATGAATATTTCCAAAATATATTTTTATCATGTTTACAGAAAGATAAGGAAGACCAATGGCTAGAGAAAAAAGTTCAGGGAAATAAAGATCACATAATTTTGGAGCATCTACAGTGGACAATGGGATATGAAGTTCAAATTACAGCTGCCAACAGATTGGGATATTCTGAACCAACAGTTTATGAGTTCAGCATGCCACCAAAGCCCAACATTATTAAAGGTAAGAAAAAGAATACTTTTTCTCAGGCTGAACATAAATATGATATCATCTTTTGATAAGTCCTTTAAATTCTTTCTTAATAATGAAAACAAAAACTGAATTGTAAGTTCTAAGTCTATGTTCTAATCATGACTATGGTGACACATCATACTCAACATTTCTTATTGCTCTTGCTGTTGGTTATTAACTTGTAAATATACTTTGACACCCTGACAGTTGAAGTGGTAGGTAGAGAATGAGCAGAGGGAGAGGAAAGAAAGTAAGAGTGATGGATGATAATGAACATGAAAGATTTCTGTTGAAACCAGAAGAAAGCTTGGCAAAGAAGGCAACTTCTCTGTCAATTGTGTGGGGGCTGGTGCTCCACTTATTGTTAGTTTTGGCCAAAAGTAACGATGAGCCCATCTGTGCCTGATCAAGCAATCTGATGTTGGAAACATAAAATCATTTACAAAGTGAGGCAGAAATGGTCACAAATGTAACTCCATAAGAGTTTTAACCAGAATCTCAAGGGGTCTCATAATATGGCAGGACAATCAGAGTCAGTTGGTTTTCACAACACACTGGTAGATTGTACTTTTGAAAGATAACAGTGCTTACATCATTACATGGTAGTATATTAGTAATATTGCCAATGTCCAGAGGCATGATATTAATTTTTTTTCAGATACATGCTAGAGAGGTAATTTATCCTGGTTCAAAATCATTTTTACCTTCTGTTAATGAGTTGCCATATTGGTCATATTTAAACATTTATTTTACCTTGGGTATTACCATTAATATTTAAGTTTTATACTGACATGTACATATATAACATATATATTTTTATATATAGTGTAATCTTTATATAGAGAAAGAGATATAAAAGCAGCATAAACCATAAAACCAAGATTTATTTAAATCTTATTATAATAGGGTATCGGTATTGGTACATACTATTTTTAAAACTGGAAAATAAGTAAAAATTCCCAGGTCAGTCATGTTTTTTAACCTTCTTGTAATTTCAAACTGATGTTAATCTCATTTTTAATGATGTTGTTATAATGTCCATCAGGTTTTTAAAAAATTGAAAGAAGTTTTATGAAATTAATCTTTCAGTTGAAAGTAACTACTATTGTTTATAACATTTAAAAGTAATTGATATTGGTGGCTTCTTATTGCTAATATTAATCAATGCTATCAATTATAACTAAAAATTATAAAGTCAGAAGCCTCTAGAAATAATAAGGGCATCATATTATGATGACATTTTCTTTTTAATTTGAAAAGTACTTCTATGTTCATTATCTCATTTTCATTCTTAAATCTAAGTTAGATAAGGAAGAGTTATCCATATCTTACAAATATGGTTATAGGAAATTTAATGATCTGTTCAAGATCAGACCTACTTTTAGTGACATGATAAGCGTGATTCCCTTATTAGAGTGATTGAATATACTAACAAGTTCATTGCCTCTGTGAGTTTGAAATATGAAGGACTGCCTCTACCATTCAACAGTATACTTCTTCCTTCTAAATTTTTTATTTAGTATATATATATACATATATATGGAGGAAGTAATTTTATTAAAATAAAACTTAGTATTCTATGAAGTAGAAGGCAAAACTTTAATATCATTTTGTAGATAAAACACAGAATTTTAAAAATAGATTTTTAGCAGGTTATTTAATGTGATACATCCAGAGGCTCTGCCATATTTATAAGAAATTGTTAATAACACAAAAACAACAACAGGTATAGACAAAAGGTCAAAAATATTAAAAGGTCAAAATACATATAAAGGATCAATGATAGCCAAAATATGCTGTGATGAATTTTCTCTAAAAATATTGCTTTTTGTTTTGTTTTTTAATTTGAGAAACTTGTGAGCTGAAAGCTATGGTTAAGACTTGGAAAGAAAATGGATAGAATTCTGGTTCATATTCCCACACTTTTTCATGACACATAACTTGTGTTGATGTCTGTTTCCTCATCTGTAAAATTACTTTTTCTGGGTCTGCAACGTTAAGATCTATTCACATATTCATTCCAGATTTACCGGGCTTTAAGACAAGTACTTAAATGAGTACAAAGAATGAATCTGTGAAAAGTATAGAACTGGCCCTTGCCTCCACAAATTTCACAGTCTAGTAGGCTACACAGGCATTTCAACACAAGTTAGAATAATCAATGAATAGTTACAACTAAGAAAGGTTTCATTTAGAAAGTAATTTTCCAAAGGAAACTTGCAAGAATGAACCCTCCAGGGAAAATATGTTACTTCAAGGAATCTCTGAGACAAGAAAGAGCTTGATCTTCTTTAGGAACTAGACAAGGCATGTCTGCAAGAGAACCTGGAGGTGTATGACTGAAGGTACAAATAGGACCCAGATGATCTAAGGGCTTCTAGAAACCATAATTTTAAAACGGATCCTGAAAGAAGCAATAATTTTAAGCAGGAAAATTATATTAATACATAGGCATTGTAAGCAGATTATTCTAGCTCGTATGAATAAGAGAAAGTTATGGTTGAATGGGAACAAAAAAAGAAAGGAATGAATAACTTCCACACACATTTCTGACTAGACTAACTCTGCCTTTGCAATGCATAGGATTCAGTCTACGATGATGACTTTTAGCTTTCTGGTTTGGGCAACTTGAGCATTGTTGATGTCATTTCCCAAGATGAAGAATATTGTTGGAGGAGCAAGATTTGAAGAATAAAGATCAAACATAGGATCAGTTGTGTACTTGTAAAATTTGAAATGTCAAATCATTAGTAAGATATGTGGGTATAGATATAAGAAAATAGCTACAGCTTGGAGACATATTACATAAGTCTGTCAGTCTTAACAAGTGAAGGGTGTTTGAAGCCTGGGTGAAAATAAAATCCCCGAACAAATAATATCTAATTTTAGATATTACTCTAAAAAAGGATTGGTATATGTGATACTCACTGATGTTTCCTACCATGTAGGACTACTGGCACAGCATAGATATTCAAAGAGTATTTGAGTTAGTGAAGAGTAGAGGGTTAAGAACTGAATCCCAAGCAACTGTAATATTATATGGGAAGAAGAAACCAGATCCCCTCTCGCCTCCCCCAACAAGACTTAGATGTAATAGAGGCACTGGAAAAATACTGGAGTGTAGCATTTTGGAAGTTATATTTCAAGAAGAAAAGGTGTAAAAAGAGTCAAATGATGCTGAGAGTTCAACAGAACTGAACCAAAACAGATGTGAAATGTCCTTATCACATGCAGCTTTGCTGAAGTGGTTGGGATAGAAATTAGGTAAGAATAGGCTAAGGACTGTACATAAGGGCAGGAAATTTAAGCTCCATGTTTATTTAAAGCTTTCAAGAAGTTTTTCTGTGAAGATGAAAATAGGGAGAAAAAAGACAGTGTTAGAAGGACTTTTATGATGAAAAGACTAGATGAACTAGATCAGGTAGTCATGGAAAACACATAACAAACATATAGACAAAGCTATCTGAGAAAGTAGGAAATAGTATCCACCCCCTCTAGACTGTGCAGCTGATACAAAGTCAACACAACTTATTGGAAAGAGGGAAAATAACATACTATTTTATCTATAAAAATGTCACAAAATAATGTCTAATTTACTGGACTGCATCCACTTACTGCTAAGGACTCACGGAAAGCCCATATCAAAGACATGTCCTTATAGATTAAGAATTGCTCCATTTACACCTAGGTTTCTTGAGGCAACTTTAAAAGCTGTGATGATGGGGAATTTGAGAGCCTTCAAACCCACAAAATCCTATAAAGTTAATATTATGTATTTGAAAAAAATGGAAAAATGCTTTCATTGCAACTACTCTAATAGTTATGATTTATTTTTTTCATTTTTTAAAAAAATATTAAAACTCATTAGAAATAAGTTAAGTAGGTCTTAAGTCTTTTTGTTTAAGTTGGAGAAGAAATAGAGTTTAAAGGTTAACTTGTTTTTATTTATATTTGTATATCATGCATTGTAGATTGTCCAAATAAGTTCTATGAATTTTCAATTAAAATTCCATTACTTATGTGCATCAAGACATGTAATTTTTGTAAACAGTAGGCTAAACCTAGAGTACTTTTGTTTGACTAAAGCATTATTTTTTTAAAATTTGCTCACCTTGCATTAATATACAATATGTTCTATTGATAATAAATTTTTTATATATATCTTTGTGAATACCAGATCTACATAGTTTATGATTCTGATTTTTAAAAGTATTCTCTAATTATTAATATTGTCCCATTTTTATTTCTTATTAAATATGTGCTTACTTTGAAAGATGTGCCTTTGGATTTACATAAAAATAAAATATGCAGAATCAGTCATGTTCCTTTTTGGAATATTCATGCAGCATAATTCTATTTTATTTCTTTTATAAATAATAAGAATGTTGGGAAGTTATGGTGAATTGAATGTTATAAAAATTATCACAAACTTATTTATGGAACTAGAGGCTGATAAAAGCATTTATTGATTTGTTCTATAATTTTAACGACTAAAAATACTACTCATTCATCAATTGGATATAATATAATACTTTAAAAATCCTTGGAGATAAATTTGTTTTGAAAACCATTTCTTTTGGCTTACAACATGTTTGATTTTGTCTTTAATTAAACAAAGGATGACCTTGGTATTTTTCAGTAATTGTGTACTTTATCTCCTGTTGTTATTCTGAGTTGGTATGTCTAATTTTAACATTGACTATAAATATAATTTGATGACAAAAATTCTGATCATACATTCTTACCATCCAGTGATAATATAATTCTGGCTGGTAACACTATATAATACATACATACGAGGTCTTCAAATGGATAAGCTAAAAAAAGAAATTATATAAATGGTCAAGAAATTTATTGCTAAAAATTTTCAGTTAATTTGTATTTTCATAGGCTTTTAAATTATACTTCTAATGCACTATAGAGTAAAATTATTTTGATGACTTTTAGTCTAGTTTCAAGTAACATGAATATACACTTTCATTTCTGGATAA